TAACCGGCTGACCAGTGAAAAGACAACGTGCCAGTCTTGTCAACGAGTGGTATGGGAGAGGGACGAGCTTGCTCGGTGTTCCTTCTCACCTTCACGCACGGGTTTTACCGAAGTAATTTCCATGGTTTGTTGTGTTTCGCGTTGGATTGGCGGAGCCGTTTTCATGCCCTGTCGTTTCGAGTGTGTCGACACAAGACGTTGTTCATGCAACGAGAGCCAAGTCGATCTCGATGGGTCCCAATTACGTCTCAAACGTGAAATACTGATGCTGCGAGTACTCGTAGGCAATCCTTAGGGCCCGGGTGTTCTTGTCCCGAGACGAACATGTTGCTGCTACAACTCAACGGAACTTAATAGCAGTCCACCGAGCAGGAGTAAACAATGGTCTTTCTTAGCACGCAGTACTTTTCGTCCCTACATTTTTATCTACGGGTAGTTTTTTTTTCTGCGGATATAGAAACTGCTGCTTTTACTGCTGTCCAGTAGAGCGTGGGAGCATCAAAAGGCTTGGGTGCCTTCGGCATTAGGCCATCTCGTGGTCATCTTGGTGCTCCCTCCCCCCTGCGAGAGTGAGAGAGAGCCACGTTGTTCTTCTTAATTTCTTTCATCACGGGGTCGCCGTGGATGCCGTAGGAAAACGGCGTACACTTCCCTCGCCCCCCCCCGGGCCCTACCCCGGCTGTTGGCAATTTTTTTTCTTGTCAATTTTTCTGTGAATAAGCACTGCACGACAAATGCTGGTATGTGGTAACCGGCACGCCACTGTTTGGAGTGGGAACGGCGCACCGTCTCGAAAAGAGGTGCGGGGTTTCACAACCAACTGATCAAGCGCCCCCGCCCCCGCCCCCCTGCAGGCAAAGCAACCAACACCGACGCGGCTTACGGCTGCGCGCTACTAGCGATGCAAGGCCTTCGAAGCACGGGTGCCGCCGTTGCCACCACCACCCCGACATCGTCGCAAAATTCAGCAAATGGTGGTACGTAGAAGAACCGGTGATGTTTTATTGGGGGCAGCCGGGAGGGAGGGAGCCCGGTGCTTCACAAACGAAAGTAGAAATTCCTCCCCTCTTTTGCCGGCACCCTCGTTTCTAGTACGTGCGGGGAGTTCGAACCGTGGGGAGTTTTGAGTGTTGTGAAGAATTACGAGAGCCGCACGCATCAGAGTACGAGGTTGGCGGGTGGAAGGGTTGAGTGTATGGGCGGGTGGGTGCCTTTGAGCTCGATAGAGCATGGCATGGGTCGCTCGTGGAGGGGTGACTGCGAGACGACCGACCCCGTGGACGAAAAGCGTCTTAGAAATCAGAGGAAACTGTTGCTGCCGTCCCAACCAGCAACTTCCACAATATTGTTTTACGAAACATGCTGCAGACTACCGCCTGTTTTCCGTTTTTGGTCGAAACTTGTGGGCGATGGGGGGGGGTGCGTTCCGATCATGTTGTCACCCCCTCGATGCCATTGTGCGGAGTGTTACGGGCGGGCCACTTGTGAAACTCAACAACGTCGATAACTGGACTGATTGTTAGGGGGGGTGCTTTACTATCCACATCAATCCTCCATTTGTCCCGGAACCTCCTTTGGACTTTGAAGTTGTTGGTATGGTATTGGGCGCTAGTCGGCCCTGTTCTTCTCAGGAGAGCGACCGCGCACAGCGAGCGCCCTCGTGCGTCGAGACAGCTGAAATCTTGGCAGGCAATGTAAGTTACTCGGGAAACCTGAAGCAAGAGCAGTGCGATGGTATTGTTTTTGCACACAGGGTTGTATGCATATGGTAGAAGTGGTCTATCAATAGAGTTTTCACTCCCTTTTTATGTGCGTATAGACAGACAAGTGCATGGTTTTCGAGCACCAATTTTTACGTGCGTGCGTTTTGTGTGTTATTGCTCTCAACCTATTTCCTGTTTTGGGTGTCCTTGCTCTAGGCTGTGAAGATGAAGTGGCTGCTTGCTTTAGCTCAGTAGTTGGCTGAGAAGATGAGCATATTGTTGCTTTGGCGTAGCGCGTAGGACGGCGGGCGCGCCACCGCTAGGGGTGGGAAATGAACGGATACAGTGGGCTGGCCGGGATACGAAAGGATCGATTTTGTCCCTCGCCAAGAGGGAAGAACGAAGGGGAGAGAGAGACAGGCAGCCATCAAACCGGCAAGTAAATGGGGGCCATCGCAAGGGAACATACACTCCAGACTTTGATGCGGTCGGTCGTCGGAAAGCCCTGCCGATTGGGTAGACATTTACGATCGAGCAAGAGATACGCACACACGTGTAGTACATGTATCTTAGAAGGTGTGTGTTCTCCACCTATAGACTTTGCTCGGCAGGATCACGAACAAGCCATGGACGGGTCGGGTAGCAACTTTTATGGCGAACACGCTACGCGACGGTCTTCATGCCACAAATGACGCCGCACTATGTTTGCCAGGTTCTCTTGTTTGTGGTCGACAATACACTACGCACGTCCGTTTTCTGCGGTGGGGGGGTAGGGTCCTAAGAGAAGTCGCGCGATCGGAAAGTTGTGGGGGGGGTGGAGGGGTGGAGGGGCGAATTTGGGGGAGATGAATCCCTAGACACCTTCATTGGGCGGCGTCTGTATGAAAGTACTAAAGGAAGTGGCCGGTTGTTGCTGTCACCTACCATCCATCTTGTTGCTATATAGTCAAACGAGTAAAATAGTGGTTCGTTCTGGCGCGCCCAGCTCTTCGTTCGCTCGTGTGCGCGGTGAATGTATCCGAGTCACGTGAAATGCACTACATACATGCGACAGCCGTGGTCATTGTTGTTCTGGTGTTCGTTGTACTTCACCAAAATGTGCTGCACGCGTTGCCGCAACAATATAGGTGGCGATCACGGGGCAGCAAACCGCAGGAAAAGAGTAAGCATTTGCGTACAGCAAGAGTTCGGCGAGGTTTGAGGATAATACCGGTTCGCGGTTGCTTGTTTGTCAACCACTTTTTTTTTTTCGCACCGCACCCTTTGCAACCACCGCTTCTGGGCCTGGTCCTACCCTCTCTGTGCACTTGATTATGCACGTACGAGAGGAGTACGCGGACGGGTGCACGGAACGGAATAAATGTTCTTCAAAGTCCCTAATGCTAAACAACAGTTTAATTTGCAGTTGAGACCACGCATTGATGTCATTTGAGAACAAACGGGGCTCTCACGGCAAGAAATCGTGTAGCAGCAGCAGCAGCAGCAGCAGCAGCACGAGTAAGCTTTCAGTGCGAGAGATCAGAGCGGCTCTAAATACGGAAGACAACAGCCATGTAGCCGTAGAGCCACCTTCCGCCACAAAAACATGGATGGACGGAATAAGTCGCTTTCTCCCGCCCGTGGAACACGGCATGACCAATATTTTCGGTGACACACTCCCAAACCAAGAGTTTTCGTTTTCCTGTCATCGTATTTATTTTGTAACCCTGAACACGGTTTAAATCCGACTCCATGTACATGGATCGGGAACACGCAAGAAACAAAAACGACCTCATTGTACTTGGAAGGCGCACCATTTGCGCTGCTTCCTTCCTACCCTAAAAGTAACAGGCTCAACCTTGCAACGCGCGACGTGGGAAAACAAAAAACAAACAATTCTTCTCTGCACGACGCAAAGCACAAAGTCGTCTCGGCTTGCACGCTGTACGAGTGACTACGGTAAGGGCGTGCGGCACGAAAGAGGACCACTGCAACAAGGGCGCGAACGTACACGCTTCGACAATCGACACGGGAGCAACCCATCCCCGCCACGACTAACTACGAAACCTGCTGGTCTTCTCAAGCAACCAAACACACACACTGCACGCGTCTCCGCCACGGGGCAACACACAGCCATATCACCCCATGGGAGGGGTAGTTGACTTCCCCTTCCCCGACCTTCAACTCCCGCCGCCCTCTACGTCACCGGAAACCTCACCGGATGGGGAAAAAAATAAATAAATAAGCACAGGCGCACGCACTTTTAAACAGAGTGCACGAAGAAGTTTGTACCGGGACTGACTTTTCCGCACAAAACACCAACACGGCTGCCTTCCCTCCACCAGGTAGAAGGCACTGTGTACTTACGAAGACCGGCAACCGTTACAACACGAACACAAAGGAAACAGTGCGAAGACGGCTATCGCGAAAGAGTTCAAACCCTATGCCGTATGAACACACGTAGAGCGGAATCCGACACACGGGTAGACTCGACCGGCGGTCGTCCACTGCCGGTAGGCAAAAAAAAAAAACTGTTATCGTACATGGCATAACCGTTCGTTGTGTTCCGTCCTACAAGAGACGTGCAACAATATCTCGGCCAAAGTGGTGTTGATTATAACGTACGCAAGAAAGATATGAGTAGACAAATTTACTTGTTCTAGAAACAAATGCAAGTCTACCTGCATCACTGTTCACACCCACCATAACATGCCTTCGCAAACAACAAACAGCATGTTGCGCGTGCAAAAGCACATTTCTTCGCCCCTGGCGGCCGCCGCAGGGTGTTGAGGGGCCGTCCTCGACATCACCCAGCCCCCACCGGCACAGGCGTCGTCTCCGCCTTCTGCTGCCGCTCGCGCTCCGCCCGCCGTAGCGCCATCAGCTCCGTGATGGACACGAACGCCGGCGCTTTCTCGCTCACGAACCGGCCCCGCGTCCGCTTCCGGGACCTGGCGGCCTCCTGACGGTACCGGTACTTGACAGGCTTCCCGGGCTCGCGGGCGAGGTTCTCCTCTCCATCGACCGCCCCGCCCGCCCCGTCGCGGCCGCCACCGCCGTCGCCGCCGAAGCTCATGGTGACGTTACGCATGAGCTGGAACAGGTCCCCGACCTTGGAGGAGGAGCTAGCGTTGTTGTTGGGGGGGGGGGACGACGACGGACGAAAAGGGTCGGGGATGACCGGGGTGTCGTCGACGTTGCTGCTGCTGCTGCTGCCGCTACCGCTGACGACTGTTGACGTGAGGAGCGGCGCTATCCCTGGTGTTTTCGGCTCTTCTGCTGTGTTGGCTGCTCGTTCGACCCTACCGCCACAGCCTACGTCATGAGAAACCCCTGCTTCTTTCTTCGCGCTTTCGCCGGCGGCGGGCAGGCCGGAGGAGGTCGCGGCCGCATCCCCGTCACCGCAGACGGTCGAACCTCCGCTGACCACGCGCACGACGCCGCCGCTGACACCGCGCTCCACCCCGCCGCTAACCGCCCGAGGCACCCCGCTCCCCCCGTCCACCAAGAACACTTTGCTGCGATGGTGGCGGTGGAGTTCATCGTCCTCTTCACCGTCGCTGCCGCTTTCTGGCTCGTTCGTCGTCTCGGAGGAGTGACGCTTGGCCGGCGCCGGCCGGGCGAGTTCTGCCGCCGCTGTCGCCGCCGCTGCCGCCGCCGCCGCCGCCTCCGCCTGGGCGCGGCGGCGGGCCCTGAGGCGGGCGAGCGCTCTCGCGCGGTGCCTGCGGGCCATGTCGGTGAGCGGGGGGTGGACGTCCGGGGCGAACCACCTGGCGTTGTCGTGGTCGTAGGCGCCGGCGCCGCCGGATTGCTGCTGGGAGTTGGTTGGAGCTGCGCTACTGCTGCTGCTGCTGCTGCTGCCGTTGCTTCCGTTATTGCCCGGTCGGGCCCCGCCGCCGTCCCTCTTGAGCGTCCCCGGGATCAGGCTCCAGAGGTTGTTGATGGACGGCTTGTCCACCTTCTGTTGCTCCTGACTGTACTCGCGCTGCTGCTGCTGCTGCTGCTGCTGATTACCGTGCTGCGGCGGGCACGAGTACTGCCGCTCGTCGTGCTGCCCAACGTACCCGTGCTGCTGCGGGGGTTGATGGACGTTTCCGCGGGCGGCGTGGGTCGGAGCAGGATGGGTCGCGGAAGCAGTGGCGAGATGAGCCGCAGCCGCAGCAGCAGGAGCAGCCGTAACGTTCGCGTAGTCGCGGTGGTAGTGATCCCGAACGACGTGGTGGTGCGGAGCAACGTCCTGCTGCTGGTAAACCCTAAATTGCTGCCTGCTGCTGCCCCCAGGACCAACGACGACAGCGGAGAGCAAGGAAATTTCGGGTTGTTGCTGCGCTGGCCGCCGCTGCCGCTGCCGCTGCCGCTGCTGCTGCTGCTGCTGCTGCTGCTGCTGCTGAAGGAACGCCCACGCATCCAAGGAGGGCGGATTTTGGTGTAGTCCCATGACGGACCACGGATCCGAAGCCGCCGCCATCGGCGGATCGAAGCGAGGTGCCCACTCACTCTGTCGCCGACGTGGAGCGGCGGCGGCAGCGTTTTGGGGAAGGTGCGGTATCCATCGCGCTCTTGTTGCTTGAGTAGCAGGAGCAAAGTCTTGCCGGCTTGAAATTACAGGGACTTCTTTGGTAGTAGCGTAGTAATCCACGCGGCAATGTTGCTGTTGCTGTTGCTGCTGCTGCTCCTGCTCCGGGTGCGACGGCGGGGCAGACCTCGAGGTGAGCACCGGCGACGGATAGAACGGGTCGGGGTGTGGGTGTGGCTCCTCGTCCGGGATCGGCTGCTGCTGTTGCTGCGGGTTGGTCCGCCCCCCCTCGTCCCCTGCTGCTGCGACTGGCGGCACGGACGGTGAGGTCGGATTTTGGCCTCTTGGCAAGCCCTGGTACCGGGGCTTGGATTGGTCCTTATCCGCCCGGGTCACCACGGGGGCTGGCCTTGGCGCGGGGGCGAATGCTGGCGGAACTTCCTTGCTGCTGGGAGGGTAGAGAGGAGAGGGCGGGTGCTGAGAGAACTCGCCAGAGAAAGTAGGCTACACGAGGGCAAGCAACATTTCTAGATGTCCACAGGTGCTGCCAGCACACAAGAGAATAACGCCGCTCGCGGATTTTTCGCAGATTCTTGTCAACACATTTTCGAGAACGTAAGAAACCCGCCATCCTACTCGCTGCTGCGCGTCGGGGCGACCGAGCGCGCGCGAGGGGGTCGTCAACAACATGCAAGCGATCGCAAGCCACGAACACAGACCAACCTGGAGTTCCTCGCGTGCAGACCAAGCAAGGCAGCCGCTGCTCCGTTAAGCTCTTCGTCGGTGACGTTTGGCATTATATTCTATTATAGAAAGCCCCAGTCCGTTGCTGCTGCGTTCTGTCTTCACTGTTCGGTCAGTTTATGGAGGAGAAAGGGAGATCACGGATTGCCCTTCCGCCACGCCAGACCAAGACACCGGGGGGAAGAACTCGTGCACTCGGCCTCTTTGCCCGTCTCTCTCGTTATTTCTCTCTCGCTCGCTCGCGCACGCTCTCTCGTCGTTTGCTTGCGCCCGCTCGCTGCCGGGACACACGCTGTCGGAGCTGTGAACGGTTTAGGGCTAAGAGTCGATTCTGAGAAATTGTTATGGGTTCCGAGGAAGCGGCGCTTTTTCGACCCGTTCGCCAACAGAAAGTTCTGATGATGAAGAAAGTTCGTTTTTCTCCAGGTATGTTGTTGTTGTCGTGTTGTTGTTTGTTTTTATTATTAGCATCGACCGTGCTAACCGGCTGACCTGTTGTTTGTTTGTGTTTGTTGTTGTTTTCTTCACATGCATGAAACTCGTGTCAGTTGCTGATCCCAATATCTAGCAAAGACTCGGTCCGTGGTCCCAAAAATGCTAGTAGAGCCATCAGAAGATCTAAAGAACACACACACTGTTAGCAAGAAAAGGGTACACAAGCAAGCCCGAGGAGGTACACTTACAATCCCTGCAGCACGTTTGCGTGCTCACAACTGAACTACTACACGCCCACACACTCAAATTCGACTACAGCAGCAGCATCACCCCCCCTTGTCCCGCACTTTTTTACCAAAATGGATGTCGACTACAGCGTACTACTACTACTACTACTACTGCTGGCTGAAGTGCTGCCTGTACAACAATAACGCCATGGTGCATGGTACTACTACACAAGCTCGGGGCATGCAGCTGCCGTCTGAAGTGCTGTCAGAATGCGTCCGTCCGTGGACATACAGTGAAAAAGAACAACCAACCAAAACAAAAGCCATCATTGCAATTGACAATCACCCGAATGTATCTAGATCATCTGTGTTAGGCACAGCAGTGTTAAAACATCGACACTGACTACGAACCGTTCCACATCGAAGGGGTCTTCTTCGATGCAGGTATATATATATATTTTTTGTCTTCACTTCAAATCAGCGCTCACGGCACTAGTGCCGTTTACTCCAACCCGTGGTCACACAGAAGAGCCCCTCTCTACCCTCCCCTCCTGCGGTACTTTGCCTTCGATTTTTAATGCGAGAAGAAAAGTTCATCAGCATTCTCTTCCCTCTGTGTAGCTACACACGAACTAGCGCTATCCACTGGGCCAGGAGCGCGGAAGCGAGAGCAAAACTCACTTTACAAGAAAATAAGCTCGCTCACGCCGGGATTCGAACCCCTGACCTGACCTCTAGAAGGTTTCGAGGTTACCAACTAGACCACCGGGGCGACCGGTGGTCTACATATATGTATGAGTCATTCTCCACTCGTCGTTTGTATGATGAGCGTTACGGCTGCGGACACACCACCAAAATCTGCCCTCGTGTACGCATACATCATGGGGCAACGCCTGATCGTGCAACGTGTGTGACTTTTCGCCCCATCCATGCATGTATGTGCTCTGTATAGGCGGTGTCCTTGTTGCTTGCGGAGTGCGCCGCACACATTGTTGTTGTTGTTGTTGTTGACTTCACATTAATCCGTATGCCAGTTGCTAAATGCCAAAATCTAGCAAAGACTCTCGGCCCGTGGTCACGAAAGTGCTGGAGCCATCTGAGGATCTAAAGAACACGCACATGTAGCAAGAAAAAGGTGTACAAGAGCCCGAAGACACACATTAATATACTTATTTGAAGAAGACATATCTATATTATTGGTCTAAAAGGGCCCGGACAGACAGATTTACTGCTTGTTCAATCATCATGTGCATTCTCGGGTCTCGCCACGGGTTGATTGGCAGGAGATCAGCGACATACACACTATCGCATCACGCCGTCTCGCTGTTGTCCCTGAGACGTGACGTCTACCAAGAAGTCCTGGGATTCTTGCCTGCACAGGCCAGAGGGAAAAGGGTCGGTCGCCTGAAAATCCGTACATACATGAATGTATTCGGCCTCGGGTCAATTGACAAGATAGATATCGTATCGTGGTCTCGGTTTTTCGTATGTATTTTTCATATGTAGACAATGTAGTCTATCCTGATGAGAGAGATACGTGGTGGGTGTGACCTTCCAAGCGTCCTGGAATCCCTCTTTGCACAGACTGGCGGCGGAGGGAAGGGTCTTTCACATCATCATGGCACATGTCTCGGGCGTCGGGTCAATATACAGATCGATATCGTATCAATCAAGCTGTCTCGCCAATCAAATCTGAGGTGGTCCTCAGCCAAGTCCTGGGATCCTTATTGCACCTGCCGCCGGAGGGCGGTACAGTGGTTCTTCTTCTTCACGTTCTTTCATCATAATGTACCCTCTAGTCTACAAACGTCGCAGAGGTCTCGGGTCTCGGGTCATTTGACAGACGATACAGATAGCGCCCGCACTCTAAGAACTTAGTCAAGCAGTTAAAGAACCCGTCTCTAAAACCTATACAGCGGCCATTTGTAGCCCACAAGAGAATAATAATCAGCAAAATAAGAACGCCAGCCTCGGCCGAAACTAGAGGTTCGTAAGTGCGGGCGCCATCTGCATCGCATTAATTGTTGAGCTGTCTCGGCAAACCTTGGCGTGACCTCTACCAATAAACTATGACATCCTTGGCACACAAGACTATCTATGTTGCTACGTGGAACGTATTATTAATTGTGGTTTGGTTGGTTTGGTTGATTGATGTTGGAAACCTGCATGGTCTACACAGCAGTATGCATACCATGTTGTTGTTGCTGTTGTTGTCTTCACATTAAAAACCATCCCGGTCTCTCTATCCAGTACCTCCTTCTGTCTCAATCTCTCCGTACTAATCCATCACTTGACTCGGCCAATTTCCGTGGTCACAGGCTAACGTACCTAGAAAAGGTATACCAAAATAAAATGGACCCCAAGGGTCAGCAGAGCGATAAAATACAAGAAAACAA